AATCTAATAAAAGTTTTGTCACAATTGGTAAAATTCTGATGCCTGATATTAAGGGGGTTTACTGTTTATGTTTTCGATTTTATTTGGTCCGAGACATCTACAAATACAAATTTTACACATAAAAACAAAACAAATTTATTATCACACCTCAATAGACATAGAACATTATATAATACTGTTTGTATATATTTTGAATAGATTGGAGAATTTATAATCATCAAGAAAGAGACCAGGAAGTTTTTCATCGTGAGATTATTCGTTGGTTTTCTGACATATCAAAAGACAACAGTCCATTCTCTATCTATAAACTGGTCGAAATGGGAAAGAAGAGTGGTAAAGAGCCAGGTGATTGGTATGGTCCTGCTTCAGTTGCTCATATCTTTAGGTATTCAAATCGTACTATATCTATTTATGATGAGTTTTGATGATCTTGTTATGAGTATTTATTAATGGTTGAGTTTGAAGGAATTTTACTATGCCCTCAATCATTTATACAGCATTTTTTTTTATTCATTTGTGTGTAACCACTTCATGAAGGTGTTGATTAGTGTCAAAAGATTTTATTATATTCTGAGCCATGTGAAAATTTTTAACGGAAGCTTTTTTGATATTACTTGACATATACTTTGAATTGTGGCTAGTGGCATCTTTTAGGTGCCAAATTCAAGATGAATGTGTGAGGACAAATTTCGTACAGTTTAATCAGAATTAGAAGATCTGAGGCTGAGTATCCAGTGGCAACCCTAAAACTGTTGCACCTCAAGTTGGAATTTGTAAAGCCAGTTATGTTGGTATATTTTTTCAGGGATGCTTTATTAAAAGCTTATAGACCAATACCTTTGTTGTCAGATGTTTGTATATATGTTGCTCAAGATTGTACAGGTAATTATCAGTATTATGTCGTATCTGGAAAAATGACATGAATTATACGTTATACACCATGCATGGTGCAATGAGGGAGATTTTGCCAGGACAGCAGGATTAGCCTGCTCTTTTTTGGATTTCCAACTGTTGAGGGATCTTTAACGTGCACACGATGTAGCACACAATGCCTTGGTTTATTGTCTTATTAGAACGACTAGCCTGCATCACTGACTTTAACTTTATTAGAGTTTAGAGTGTCTTATTTAGCTTCTTTTCATAGTTCATGGTTTGAATGTTCAATCAAAAAATGGGCTGAGATGCTGTATTTGTATTTTCAACTGGTTTCCCTCAGTCAGTGATGGAGATCTAAGGGAATAACACAGAGAAAATGCTAAATAATGTGGATGAATCCTATCTCTCAAAAATATTCCAAGAGCAGAAAAGTGGGCAGAAATGTTCAAATTTATTTCATTTTTATTGGTTAAAGAGCTTATTATTGATACTTGATGGTTTCAGTATATAAAGAAGATATTAGAGACCTATGTACTACTAAAAGACGTTCCAATACATTTGGTAAATCTGGTAATTGGACTGAAGATAGTATAGAAGAGAATGGTACCAATGAATGGTTTAAATCAGTTATAATATTGGTACCAGTCAGGCTAGGTGGTGAAGTTTTGAATGAGGAGTATATACCATGTGTCAAACAGATACTAAGTCAGGAACATTGTATTGGTATTATTGGTGGAAAACCAAAACATTCACTGTATTTCCTAGGTTGGCAAGGTACGTAGAATCAGATAATCATAGCAAACCCTGTAATACTACAGTAGACACATTAAATAAATACTATCCAAAAAGCATTCATTGAGCTTGACATCATTTGATGAAATAAATGGTAGTTGTGGGTTCACATCTCCGCAAGTAAAAGTCTGATGACCTTGAATATGTCATCTTTTCTGTGCACAATTAATTCAAGAAAGATCAATTCCATGTTGTTGCTGACAAACAGGATCTTCAAGAACCTAAGTGGTTATCCTAAAATATGGCTTTTTTCCCACAAGTGGAATTGTTGATGAGTATTATTCTATATTTGTAGATGATAGATTGATCTACCTAGATCCTCATTATTGTCAAGATCATGTTGATACAACAGAAAAATCATTTCCAATTCAGGTAAGAGTGATCTTTGACAATACTTGTATAATTATCAATTCAAAAGTCTGTTAAGATATATTTTATGACAAATAAACACTTGCGTTTCCATATTGTTAAATGTTGAATTGAAAACAACAAAATCTAGAAAAAAATCTCATAGGGTCTTTCAAGAAAATTTTTAAAAAAAAGTATACTAATTGATTTAATCCATCTTAAGAGCAGGTTTTCTTCATTAAATTCTGTATATTTGTATTTTCAGTCTTTCCATTGTATGTCTCCAAGAAAATTACCTATGAATAAAATGGATCCCAGCTGTACAATAGGATTCTATTGTAGAACCGAAAGAGATTTTGAAATATTTGAACGTCAAATCAGAGAGGTATATCTTTTATTTCTTAAACATTAACTCCAGCAATATTATAATGAATGCCAAAAAATGAGCATTTGTATTATGAAGTTATTTCCCTATAATAGTCTTTTACTACGCCATATACGTGCCCAAAACTGAGATATTTATGTTTTGAAATTGATATTAAGTTCACTCACCACATGGCTCATGATCACTGCAATCAGTGCCAGAAACAGTATGTTGTATATGGTATAAGTTCCATTTCCTTTTTATTTTCATGATAGGTACCCGTCAATTTAAATTTCATTTCATTATTTTAGATGGTAGTACCAAAGAAAGGAGAGGGAATGTATCCATTGTTTGTATTTGATGAAGGTAGAGGTTGTGATGTATCAGCTGATATTTTACCAGAAGAACAAGGCTATCTAAGAATTAGACATGTAGAAATCACAGAAAGTGGCCGTCTCAGATCGTCTACTAAAGATTCAGAAGATTTCGTTATTTTATAAAGAAATCAGATTCATATTAATTTTGTTCTTACATGTAACATGTAAATTTAAATCCCCTTTCTACAAAAAGACAAGTATAACTTATCTTTACATGTGTGTCTGGTTGGCCTGGTATGGTTACATATTGATACAGGACCAAGCTAAATGATATGCATCTCATGGCATCTTGTATCAATATGTATCGATGCACCAATGTATCATAACTTGTATCTGACTTTGTACTTTCATAAGTAAATCAAATATTACATTTTCACAATCAGAATATCAGCTTCAAATTATTTTTTAGGTTGACTTAGTTTTGATAAAAATAATAAATATTGGTACATATTTATAAGACATGAAAGACGACAAATAATTTTGAAAATATATTTTTAACTAAATTTTATGTCATTTTGTGTGTAACCTTTTAGCCTCTCTTTAGCCATTCTAATACCCCTTTCGCACTGCAAAAGTAATTCGGTTCTATCCGGTTCTATCCGAATAACTTCCGGTTGCTTTCACACTGGCAAAAAAACTTATTCGGTTATAACCAGAAGTTATCCAGATAGAAAAATCTACCTCAAGAGGTGGATTTCGTCTGGATACGATCCAGATAAGTGGCAGTGCGAAACCTAAAAAGAAGTTATCCGGATAAGTTTATCACGTGGGGTGTCACGTGTATAAACACTTCAAAATGGCTCCTATTGGCGGGGACGTTATAATGATATTTGACGATCACAAGAAAAGGATTAATTCATCTTGAATTTTAGTATCGCCCCACACAGCGAGCATGCAGCGAATTTCATCGTTGCTCCAATTATAATTGCCAGTGTCCATATTTGTTTTTCCTGGGGTGACAATCATGTGATAATGTTTTGTCACGTGACATGATGTGTTACTAAAAATAAAAAGTTATCTAGATAACTTGACTCGGCAGTGCGAAAGCTTCTATCCAGATAGGATTGCAGTGCGAAAGCAACCCGAATCGAACTGAATCAGATTTTTCTATTTGGTTATAACCGAATTCAGTTGTGCAGTGCGAAAGGGGTATAATAGATTTACAAAAGTTGGTTTTGAATAGCAATGGATAATAATATTCTTTTATTTATTATTTGTAATAGGGCACATTATAGTTAATCATAAATAATAATTTTGAATTATGAATGTATTACTGATTAAGGTTAAACATGAATAAATCCTAAATATTTTGAAATTTGACTAAACCCCTATCTTTCAAATTTTATCCTTTTTTAACTAATAATTTACTGTTATTATTTTTTATTAATCAATGTTAATATTTGATATTCAGTTACTAAAAGATAATGTTAATATTAATCCATGAATCTTTATTGCACTGAATGCCATTTTGTGTTTGAACTGTGCTAAGAATTTCCTGTGAGTTTCAAAAATCAATCTGTTATGACCACATTTTTCAAGAAAAAAATTATTATTTTGAATTATCTGTCCTTCATTATTTTAACTGCCGTGTCGACAAGTCATGTGACTTACAAATCAAATCGTCAAAGCACCTATGAAGAGATTTGGAGAATAGGGAATAAATGTAATTGCTTTTGGAATTGATATGGACAAATATATTGACAATTTGTGTAACTGATTTAAGTTCAGTGAACATTACAGACATAAAGCGAAGGCCAAATCACTTTGGCATAGTGTATTTGCTAACTGTTGGTTGTCTTAAATTTGTAAATTAATGTTTTGACATTAGTTTATGATTTGATTTAGGAATGTTAAAATTTGAATGCCTTCATTTGAAAGGGTTTTTTTTTTTTTTTAAAGTGAAAGGATCAAATTATTTAGATCATTAAAAGATTATTTATTTGAACATATCTATGATTTTTAGCATTATTAATAAAAACATCATCAGCCACTAAAATGCAAATTAAGATCTTTTGTTTAGCATCTCCGGAGCAACATAACATGTCTGTTCAATAGAATGTATACCAACCACATTCTGAGAATTTTTATTGTTGAACATTGAATTGTATTGTATTGTTGCTAATTGGCAAGCATGAATTATAGCACCATTGAAATTAATGTCATTTGGGGTTGACTAACATCAATTTATTCAAGAATTTTAACAGATCATAGATGACAAGTATAGTAACCAGCAAACAAAAAATCATCAAAAGCAAGACTGAAGTGATTCAATCCATTTTATTTTTAACTGGTAGATTATTTGTTACATGTCTCCTACTATTTTCTTTATTTGCGGTTTGATTTTTTCCTTATGAATTTGATCATAAATTGCAGGGAATATCATGTACAAATCTTATTATTTATTACTAATGTATATTGTTTTGTTGTTCACTTTGTTGAAAATTGTTTCTATGAGATTATTGTAAATAGAAGTAATTCCCTTTTTGAATTGATTTCTTTAAAAAAAAACCTCCAAGCTGACTCACTTGAAAGTATACTTAATTACTGATAATTCTAGACACACATGGATTTGAAGGCTCATATTTAGAAAGTGAGCTTAGCTAAAATATTCCAGTTTCTGTGACTAAGATACAATCGGTCAAAAAAAAAAAATGACGCATCTGTACCATTAAACTGGTGTATACGCCAAAAATTCAAAATAATAAGAATTCTTTAAAAGAGAAAAAAAGATGTCCCCTCTTGCAGAAATATCAATTTCTGAAACAAAAAACTATTCTAGGTTCATGTTCCAAATACCTTCTTGAAGGATTCCAAATGGCACAACGACTTGAAGACAATTATGGTCATCCCAACATCTACCAGTTTATCAAAGAAATAAAAAATAAAAAAACATCTAAAAGTATCTATCTATTTAAAGCTGCATTCCATTTGAAGTCTCCGGTAAACACTTAAGGATAGGATTAAAGTGTTGTTAGAAGCTGTCTAATGGGAAGGACATCCACGTAGGTCTAACAAAAGTCCTTTGTAATATAAAAGTACAAGTATAATGTTCCTTCATCCATAAATTTGTTTTAAAATTGAAAATATTCATCTTTCTAGATATATCTGGGTTTTGGAGATCCGAGGTACTTAAAAAGGTTTAAAATCCTCGCACAGCTGCTGAGATGCGGAAGGTCTCCATTTAACAGACGTTTTGGTCTATCAGTAATAGTATTCACAGTGTTCTATATGTGTCCAGAATTATCGAATTATCTGCGTTTGAAAGTTAGCTCTAAAAAGAGGAGTCGTCTTTTTTGAGACAATGCCTTGTAGGACATCTACAGAAATATATAGGAAAATAAATTCTTACTGAAGACTATTGACATATTATATTCAAGACACAAAATCAATCCCCCAAAATTACGCAACTGTCGCAATGGAAACTTATTCAGACGTTGCAATATAAATCTAATCTGAAAGAAGTCGTTTTTAAAAAGAAATGGACAATTTTTTCGTAACCGATAGTTTTCAAGGACTATTTTCAAGTTGAAAGCTAATCTCGTGATTACTTCATAAATAATGATGCACGAATGGAGCAGCGAAAGGTTACTGTTTGCTTAGTGTTAAAATTCCAGCCAATTAGTCTAGTAGCCTACTCAAGTACATTACAATTTTCATTAATTTTTGTCAAAACTTAGAGAAAAGCTGATTTGTAATTTATAGTTAAAGTCATAACTGTTTTATTTCGATTTAAATAAAAAACCAAAATCATGAGAACTATTTTTCCTAGCTGCATGATCTGAGTAACGTGACCGGATGTCAAGTGTGAGCGTGGTCTTAAAAATAATTAACATACGACGACACTAGAGCGGGCGCCTTAGAAGATAATGTCGGTATTAACTCAAGTCAAAATGGAATCCGAAGAACCTAATGCATACAAAGAAGAATTGAGATCAGAAATGATGCCTTTAGACCAGAATTCCAACGCTTATAGACTTCTACAAAAGGGTGAGTGAAGAAAGAACTGTATGTCTAGTGGTCCAATTTTGTTGAAGGCACGCTTGTCCGCCATCTTTTTTCTTTGTTGAAAAAGCTTTTTAAATTGTTTTTTGAAAAGGTTTTGTATTTTATTGATTTGATTTGATAGGCCTAATAAGCCTCTTGAAAGTAGGTATCGCAACCCTACCATTTTACAATCAATGATCTTAGTAAAGGGCTACAGGACTTCAAGAATAAAAACCAATTTTAATTATTTTGTAGAATATCTGAGGAAACATCTAAGACTTAAAAAAAAAATCGTTTTTTTAACTTTGACGAAATTCTTTGTTGAATCCTTATATCCACGAAAATAGGTTACACCACTGTATAGTTTGATTGTGGGTATTTTATGTGCTGAAGGGCTGATAGCTATGATAATCGATTATTTTGATTCTATTACCCGGCCTTATTAGCAGTAGCAGAATTGTTTTTGGAAATTTGATGCAGGCTACATGTTTTTATTTTTCAGAAATTGAAAGATTAGACAAGGGTGAACCAGAAGGTGGTGCTCCCCCCCAGAAAACGCAGCAATGGTTGGAATTGCACCACAACAATCCACAATCTGTCAAAATCCAAATAAGAATACCAGTAAAAGAACATCCAAAGGTATATTCCACTTCTGCTGTCGGTTTTTTTTTTACTTGGATTGTTGTAGTTATTATCCATTAACTATTTTTAAATTCCTTGAATAATTTCTAATATTTAAGCTAAGGTATATATAGTTGGATTAATTCATAGTTTATTAAATGCTTGATATACAGATCAATGATCAGGTTAATGAAGTACCCTTATTCTTTTTTAGTTCAACTTTGTTGGCAAGTTGTTGGGCCCAAAAGGTGTTACATTAAGAAGACTGCAAGAAGAAACTGGTACAAAAATGTCAATTTTAGGTCGTGGTTCAATGAGAGACAAGGCAAAGGTAATCTATTTTGGAAAAGGCTTGTGTCAGAGGAGCTGGAATTTAAGTATTACTCAAAATTATGTACAAGCATGACTACAAGCCAATCAACATCTTATCCAAAGCATGGCAAAATTGTGTAGTACTAGTACCATCAGGAGTTATCAGGGTCATAGATCAAAATTGTTTGGCTTCCATTTAAAGCGATACGTCTTAGAATGAACATAAAATTTAATTCTCAAGAATGGTCGATATAAGTGTATATTCATCAGCGAACTTACCTGGTGTCATAGAGTTACAACACAATCCCTGCAAAATCTAGAAAATTGGAAAATTCTTAACACTAAGTGATTATTGAAAAATGCTTTATCATAATATTAAGCGTTTTTCAGTAGTTTATTGCATTTTTATTAAGTTTTTTAGATTTATCGGATTATGTAATGACCCTGTTATGTTATTTATGACACCAGGTATGTCTACTAATGAATATATGCTCTCATTGGCCAAAGTTAACATTTTTAAATTTTATGCTTATTCTAAGACATAGTATCCCTTTAATTAATTGAAAGTTTTCCATAGGAGAGGTTTGGTTTTGCACATATTGGTCATTGTTTTGATTTATGAAATTTTCCTTTGCAGGAAGAAGAATGTAGGAAAGAGGGAGGTAAATTTGCTCATTTAAACTTAGATTTACATCTTATGGTGGAGTGTTTTGCTGAAGCAACAGAAGCTTATGGTAGAATAAGTCATGCTATTACAGAGCTAAAGAAGTATTTAGTACCTGTAAGTAACAAGTTTTCTAGATGGGTTAACAACACTTGTCCAAGTGTTCTTTTTAATTGGTCTAGACCTCTTTCTAATGTTTTCTTGTATTACTTGACAAAAGATAAGTTATGGGATATATTTTGTAGTCAATTAATATTTTGTTTCAGGATTTTAATGATGAAATAAGAGCACAACAGTTTGAAGAAATGGGTTATATGAATAATGGTGATAAGCCTGGGCCAGGCCGTGGAGGATATGGTGGTAGAGGTGCACCAAGAGGACGTGGTGGACCACCTGGACTACCACCATCAGGACCACCAAGGTACTTGAAATTATTTTTTTCTTCTTTACATCCCCTGTACTTGTGGTTACTGTCCAGGGTTCATTACCAACATAGGTTGAAATTATACCTTTTTCAACCCTGTTTCCCCTTGTCAGTGATGCAGGCTAGAGGGGCTGGTATGGAAAAAGTGCCATGTTATGCGGATGGGACAATAGACTGAGGCCCTGTGTGCTACTGTGCAGGTCATAGATCTACATTAGGACTGGGTGTGGATTGCCAAATTGAGATTATTGACAGCATGCTGTAGATCATTCATTGATTAATAATCAAAGCATTTTAATTGAGAAACTTTGTAAATCAAAAATAGAAAGCATGCCAAAATTTGTCAATACAACTTGTTGATGGTTACACGGGAAAAAAATGTAACTTTCCATTAAATGGATTGTTTCGGTTTTTTCACCCATCCCTATATGGTCATTGATGGTTTATTTGACTTTATTTATTTGAAATAATCATATTTCTTGAGTAAAAGGCATATTGTGAATTGTAGGGGAGGTATGGCACCTAGAGGAGGTCCACCACCAAGAGGCGCACCAAGAGGAGGTCCTCCACCACGAGGAGCACCGAGAGGAGGTCCACCAAGAGGAGGTATGGGAGGTGCTGGTAGAGGAAGAGGTGGTCCACCACCAGCTCAACCACCACCCAGTTATGATGATTATGGATCCTCTGTAAGTGTTCATTTCAATTTAATAGATATATACAAAATTGTATTCTTGCTTAGTGGACTTTTCGAAATGGATTGATTTGACATACCCAGTAACAGTAGGATGAGGTGTCAAGAAGAGTGAGCAAATCCTAGTGCATATTTTTGTCCAGAATTTGCAGATTGTATTATGGACAAAATAGCCCTAGCCTATAAACCTACATTACTGTTATATATTTGTAGGGCTATGATGATGGTTACAACAGTGCTCCAAGCTATAATAATACATCTGCTGGTGGCTACAGAGAACAATCATATGATCAGGGTGGCTATGAACAAAGGTATGTATAGTCTTGATTTAAGTCAATATGGTATCTTATTACAACCCAGTATCCCCCTTTCAGATGCAGTGTTAGGCAAGACTTCAAAATGAAAGATTTGAAAAACTCTGATAATGTTACTATGGTAGAAAGTTATAGTTTGTATGCAGATTATATCTGTTGCATACCAAGAATTTTCAGTGTATTATTGAAGACAATTGGTATCCATACAAGATACTGTCTACCTAATATTAATTTCAGGATCATAGTACTGAAAATGAAAGTACTTCATTTCGGTCTCCATTAGCTGATACACTTATTAATTTATCAAAGGGATTATAAAAAGTTTTTTTAACATTTTTTTTTGTTAAATGACAAGTTTTAGTTAGGTTGCATGAACCACAAGCGCCTTATTGAAAAATGGAATGGTACAAATCAGTGTCTCCATTAAGAGCTGAAATAACCTTAACAAACCCCCTTACAACTATCACTTTAAGACTTTATTCTGTGTTATTTCAGTGGAGGAACTCAATATTTTGACTATGGACATGGAACTAGTGCTGGAACAGGATCATCTTATGATTATGGAGCAGGTAAGTTTGTTATTCTTCTGGGTTTTTGATTGAAAATATAGTAAGTTGAAGATGTATTTAACATCTGGGTCCAATTGGAAACAAAACCTGATAAAAGTCCATCTGGTTAGGATTTTAATCATATACACTTCACTTTTTTTTTAGTCGTAGATTTGTTTGAACTGAGGATATGGAAAAACAATTAAGACCTTGTCCCTAAATTTAAAAAATATTAACTTGTCATTACCAGTTCCAAAGCCATTAGAATATTCAACATAAGATTAAGGAAATATTTATCATCTAAATTAGGAAACTGAAATGAAAAAATTACTTGTATTTCAGGTGATTCTGGGTGGTCGAGTGGACCAGTGAAGGCTGACCGTGGTGGTCGAGGCAAACCCGGAGGATATGGTCAACGTCCCCATCCTTATGGTAGAGGTGGATCAGGTTATTAAACTATGGTGTACTTACCACTGGTCATCTAACCTACTTGTCAACATTGTATATATATTTAGACATTTCATCATCAAATCACAATATCAGGTACAAGATCTATTCTTCTTGTACAATATTCATCATTTTGTGCTTTTAATATATAATTAAAAACTTGACATTATTCACAATATATAATCCAGATTTAAAATTCAAACAAATTTGAACTTTGAACAACTGTAGGTTTTAAAATTTTAATTCTAATATTTTAATTTTGAATTACAATTTTAATAGCAATAATGACAATCATTCTGAAAATGATTAAGATAAAATCGTGAATATTTCTGGAGACATTAGTTATACAATGTGCATTCGAACTAGTTTGTATTTCAGAAATAATTATTTAACCTTATGAGGAATGATTTTGTAAATAGTCTAAGGAACGTTCTTAATATAATGTGCTATAGTGATGTTCACATTTTGTCTTGTGTTTTATTTTAAATGTGGCTATAAAATGATACTGTCAAATTATAAATTGTTTATTTCATGTGTTAAATGTAAACATGCATTGATTATAGATCAAGAAATTGATTAAAAGAACAACTGAACGAGGCAAGATTAATATTTTAAAGTTATTTTGTCAAATACTTAATCTGAGACTATATATATATATATGAGCAACTGTTAAGTTTCTGAAGTTGAGCACCTCACTTAAACAATATAATATTTTGCAAACCTGTAAAACAATTATTTGAGAAAGTGTAGATTAAGCATAGCTGTTAACATCTAAAAATGAGCATAGTCTAAATTGAACATGTGTAAAATGTCTTAAATTTAGCATAGCTGTTAACATCTGAAATGAGCATCTCCAAATGTCAAAACAGCATAGCTTTAATATACAAATTGAGCATAACTGTTAAAGTCTGATATGAGCATTACATGTATTTAAGCATAGCTGAAAAGCATGGGATGGAGTAAATAAAGGAAAGTGGAAAAACTATCTTTGACCTTAAATCTTATTTTGAAAGGTTAATATAGTGGATTGTATGATTTAATTTTAATGCTTTTTACCCAGGATTATCTGGAGATCTCGATTAATAATTTGACTCTTCGCATTTTAAATTCAATGTTGCTAACTTTGCCAAAGTATCAGTTGGACTGTGTTTTAATGTGGGCTAAAAATAATCTTAAATGCCAAGATGAAATATAACCTACATATAAAATCGCTAATATCAAGAATAATGAAGAGATAACCAGAATAAAATCTGAAAACTACAAAGAATCTAAAAGAAAAGCTATTAACATAGCCTAAATCCAACAAGAAATATAAAAAAATATAAGTAAAATACAAGGTAATGTGGGTATTCTTATTGTGTATAATTTGTTAAAATTACTTTAATCTGAAATAAAACTTCATTAGTCTATTTTAAAAACTTCTCTTATAATGCACTGATTACATTAGATAATGAATAATAAAAAGTTTTATTTTTCAAATATGTGAATGTATTAATGCCTGCTTTACAATTCTTTTCATATGAAAATTGTCTAAAGTGTACAGCTTATCTAATCTGTGCTTTTGGTTTCCTTTTCAGATCTCAAGGCAGCAGTGAATTTTAACCTTCAGAGTAGAGTGCAATATTTTAAATAAATGAATATATTTTTCAAATTTGTTTTTTGACTCTCTCTCTGTCCAATCAATTACAAATATCTAATACTTGACATCATTAGACACTCTTCAGCAATTTGATTTAAAGCAAATACAGCCAATCCAGAACAGACTACACAATGTATCAGAATGCGTTCGAGGGTTGTTTTGACTAGATGCCATCAAATAGCTGCATTTACAATCTTCCATAACAATCTGGGTGTTATCTTCAGGAACTTAGTTGCAGTAGCCCAGGGTTCAATTTAATTGGCATTGCGTCAGTTTGCTATTCGAAATGACCCCCTCTGGCTGCAGATCCATGATACAAAACCATCACAAGTCAAATGAAAAAATACAAAATTTTAAGGGAAGTTTTATTTCAACAAAAGTAATGTTTGGTTCAAACTGGTCATAGTGTCAGCAGGTGTTTCTATCGTATGTATACTCTATTACTGAATGGTTAGAATATATATATATATAACCACAAATATAGGATCCAAGTTACTCAAAATATCTTATACATAATCACTTCTAGATGTTCTGTTGATGAAAGACAAAAGTAAAACATTACAATTATTAAGTGCTTGGTTGTAATGATGTTAATATATATTGTGCAAAGCAAACAGTTGTCACAAAGTAGCAAATCTTTAGAAAACAATTTAAATTTAGAAGCTGCTTTCCATCATTGTTATAAAATTAAATATTAGAATATCACTCTCAAATTGAAATAACCTCCAAAATTTCTCAAGCAAAGTGCAAACTGAAATTCAATGCAAAGCCAAATCAGAAAAAAACACAAATTACAGTTAAAATTGTAACAATGTAACGATTAAGAACTGAACGCTTCAATAAGAAAATGATTAGGGTATACTGGAATATCATGTGTAACTTGGTCTTCCTTAGTATGGCCCGATTTCATTGCTACTGGAGTTAGAGTTTTTGGCACTGCTTCCAACTCTATCTGTAGTCCTGTGTTTAGCCTGGAAACAAAAAAGAAAGCACAAGTCAATTTATGAGTTGTTTCCAGGAAACTTCCTTGGAGTTACAAAATTCTTTCATTGATTGAGTGTGAATGTTAATAAAACGAAATATTATACGCTGAAGTTCAAGTTTTATGACTTAAAGCATATGATGTTGATATCATTTGGTAATGGCAGACGTCTGGTATATAGAAATATAGTCGTCTTAATATCTGCTTTGCTCCACAACACATACTAATAGAATTTCAATTAGAGCATTTAAACAAACACATCTTTCAAAGGTAACAAAGAAGGCTTACCATTGATCTTCTTGACAATAAAAGAAACATTTAGGTTTGGGCATGCCATTAAATGTTGAAGATGCACACATGGTGTAAGCTCCCATGTCTTCAAAATAAATCCATTCACCAACATGAAGCTCTGGTAGCAAATAGTCTTCTAAAATCAGGTCTATGGAATCACATGTTGGGCCCCAGACGCTTGATGTAAACTCTATCTTATTCCGAGTAGTCTGTATCAACAAAGAAAATAGAAAAATTAGGACAATTTGATGTAAATAAAATTAAAGGTTAATATTTAGACAGATATTTATATAGATAGACATTTACAATACCATACTAAAAACAATCCTTTTCTCTCCTGATTTCTGCCAAAAAGGTTTTAAAAACAAAAGCAATTGTGATAATTGTCTTACCTTCAAAAGAGATGGAGCAACATGAGAATGATCAAAGAGAAGACAGTTGAAGGATCCATAAACACCATCATTAAGATAGTACATGTAGGCTGGTTCATCATCTTTGCCAACACATTGTTCAACACAACCATCTACAATATAAACATACACTATAATACATGGTTAATATATCTATTATTAAGAAACAGATGCACCATTTTGGGGCGTTGATTTGAATCTTGAATATATTCAAATAGATTTCAAAAGTCCTAGAAATGTACAAAAATCATATAATTCTTTCAAAAACATCTCAAACTAGGAATTTATTTTCCTTCTATAGATGTCTTTTCTACATATATATATATATGGCAGTGTCATTATAATTTTCAAATGCAGATTATTCTGGTTACACATGGATTTGAAAGGCTCAAATTTCGATAGTGAGCTGTGAACTCTTTTACTGATTGGCTTAGCTAAAGAATTCTCATTTCTGAAATTTAGGTACAATTGGTGAAAAGTAAAAATCGGTGCATCTGTCCCTTTAATTCAAGTTTGACTATACATGGTTAAATTGAGAAACTTCCTTTTCCTTCAACTACTATTAAGATATTCTTGTTTGCTCCTCTTTAGATCACAGAAAATATATAGCGTTTACTTCAAACTATATTTAGGTTTATATTACCTGCATTCTTGTTATCTCTGCTGACCATGCGTTTGGCTATGACGTTAGCAGTCAAGGTAAAGGCTGACGCCACAAAATAACGTCCAGGTTCAGCTATTATTCTCACTCCAGACTCAGGTGGAAAATATTCATCCAGAGCTTCATTTAATACCATAGCAACCTTCAATTAGTATACAAAATCATTTCATCATTATGTATCATACATTAGTCATAGTATTCAAAAGATATTGCTAGCCTTTGAATACAGATCAATAATACTTCTATTTGCAGTTTTACAAATTCTCATTCATTACAAGAAGTATCCATCACATAAATTATATTCTGTACCTCTTCAAAACATATTGGGGCAGTTTTCTGTCCAGGAAATCCTCCTCCAACATCTAGAATGGTCATGTCATGTCCAAGTTCTAGTCCCATCTGAAATACATTGTAAGCTTCCTTGACAGCTGCCGAGAATGCTTCTACTTCTTCAGCACCACTACCAACATGGAAACTACAATGGAATCATATATACTAATTAACCATGATAAAATTTTAGAAAATCATTTAGTAACAAAAAAGGTTTAAAGACTGTTTTTACAATTTCTTCTGATAGATAAGAATATATTTTGGGCTGACAAAAAAATCTTAAGCCATGAATAAGAAAGTTTACCAACCTGACACCTTTCACATTTAGTCCTAGAAACTTTGCCTTCTCTAAAAGATCAATAGCCTTGTTAGGATGACAACCAAATTTCAAGCCCAAATCACACTGTACTTTGAAGTTAGAAGGTGGCAAAATTCGGATAATGAGGCTGAAATAAAACAAGTGGACACATTAGTTAAGAAACAGTGGAGCTGGATATAAAACAATGCTTACACTTTATTTATTCTCAAAAGCTAATCTTGCTTGATAACGAATGAAATGAATCTTGGTGTTTTTCGGGGCAACCTTGACATTTAACCACCAGTTAAATTAGCTGGATAAAAACAATACTTTTGAACAAAATTCAATACTAACTGAGCATCTGGATATAGTAGTTTTATTTTATCCAATTCAACTTCATTATCAAATGTCATCATTTTCACCTTGTGTTTAGCAGCATAACGAATAAATGATTTCTGCTTACAAGGATTTGCGTAGACAATACGAGTTGGACTGACCCCAAGTTTTAACACACTCTCAATTTCATCCTGTAAAAATAGAACATCAATACACACACCCATTATAATAATATTATTATTTTAACAGATACATTCAGGACAGGGGTATGTATAGAAATATTACAGTGACATTCCAAATAGAAAAGATGACAACTAATTAGATCAATGAATCTTCATATCTAGATCTGAAGCTTGTTTTCTAAATATGGTACCTTTAGGATAGTTTGTTATCTTTATTAATTTCAATATTTAATCCTATCCTTTCAAGTACCAGGGGTTTGATGCATGCTAACTACAGAGCAGAATGACTGCTTTGAATGTTCAGTTAAAAGATTCAGAGTAAACCAAAAATTCGATTCAGCTTTTACTAACCTTACTGGCACAATCAAATGATGTACCAAGATGAGCCAATAGTTGAAGAATAACTGGATCAGGATTGCATTTCACAGCTAAAATTAAAATATCAATCAAAACCTTAAATATCAATGAAGTAACTCGACTAATTATTTGAAAGAAGGGTGTTTCTTAAAGAAATTATTATTGGCATTAAGCACGCCTGTAGACATTCAGCTATTGATAGCACTCATTTTAATTCTGTCTAGTTTCCCTACAATGGTTCAAACATAAAGTAATAATAGATTCACTACTCAGACGGCATACAATTCTATGATGTGAATATTATATATTATTGATAATAATAACTGCTTGTTGTAGTGATTAATAACAAAAGTGACAAAAGCTTTAAAGGTACCTATATAATGAACTGTTTTATATTTCAGGGAAGGGATAGTTTGATTCTCTCAAATGTACAGGCTTAGGGTGGAACAAATACTTTATTGAGAAATTTATATCATTATTATCATTAGCTATTAGAAATATCAAAACAGATTCTAAAAAAGACATGTTGTTAATCAAGAGTTTCAGGTCATGCGATCTTTAGATAATTCGATCGCATAGTGTGAAACTGAGTAACAACAACAAGTTTTTTTTAGTTTGTTTTAATATTTCTATATCGCTCTACAATTGATGTATTTAGCACTACTGGGAGATTATTTCAATTTATCATTAGCTATTATGTAATTAGCTGTGTGGACTCACACAATGTGCAATGTTAACATGCCCAAGAGTGTATATGAGATTAGGTAAGATTAGAATACATTATGTATCTGGACAAAAGTAAGACTTTTACTTCATTGTAATGTCTGGCTAATTTAAGTTAAGACTTATCTTCTCATAATAAAATTATATAATAGAGATATAGTTCTGAAATTTCTATTGATGTACACACCTTGACCCCACATGAACTATCATTGTAAACATTTTCAATTACCCTAGCAGGGTTCATAAGTTCTACAAATGTTTGAATATTTAAATCATGCACTGATAACCATGTAAAATATCATCATCATGAGTCATTAATCCTTTCAACCCTAAAAAAAGCTCTCTACATGCCACATAATTGATTGACATATACCCAAGCTGCTAGTGGAGCAAAATAATGTCACAATCATACACTTTATGTGAGATTGCACAGCATGAAACTCTGAGTTACAAAATGTTTTTAGATTCTGTTTTAAAGGGACACATTAGCCATTTTTTTTGACCAATCTTACTTCAGTCTCAGACACGGAATTTTGTTTAGCTATGCCAATCATATTTCTACATTTGTAGTACTTCTGAAGACTATTTATATATACATGTATATTTAACACTCAAATCAATCCACCGAAATGGTGCAACAGTTCCTTCAATATTTCTACATTTGAACCATTTCGGTGGGTTGATTTGAGTGTTAAATATACATGTATATAAAATGTATGTGAATGTAGTCCTTTAGAACACTGACTAATTAAATTGAAATGTCATATCTCCTGAACTACATGTCAGTGTTCTAAAGGACTACATTCACATACATTATTTGATGTCTAGTATTTGATTGATTGATAACAATTTTAAAAACTGGTAGAATTTTTACAAAAATATCAAAGATAGACTTGATAAATGATTGAAGGATGAGTATGTTATCTGAAGGACTGAATGTCCAAATGTCCAAAATCTAATGGCTACCATTGAGTGTTGAGATGAAACAATAATATTAAATTTATCTTAAATTGTGCTAAACTTGTACTTTAGTTTCCATATAAGGACATCTTCATAATTGACCAGACCACAATTTCTGCAGATATTAGATCAGGTATAAGTTGGACACTGACATGGGTATTCTGTAATAATATTGAATGCAAAGAAACTCACCATAAAAGGGCTCTATTCTGGGTAGAAGCTCACACCAAGTTTTATATTTACTTATTATATCACCCAAATCTCCAATGAAAAAAGCATCTTCTTTAAGCTAAAAATGAAACCAAATACATTAAAGAGGCCTTCTTTAAGAGAGTTTCAACATTTCCACATCATATACAAATATATTTCAATATTCTCAATCTAACTCGTATGCTATAGTATGTATACAGTTCTCTGTAAATTTGGGTGCCTATGTTGGATTTTAGGGGAGTGGCCTAAAGCTGAAGAATTCTAATAATAAACATCAAGTCCCCATAAATTAATAATGATTTTTAAAGGGACATTCCACCTTTTTGTGGAAATTCTTGAGAAATTTGTCCCTTCACATATCTGAAAGTTTAATTTAAAAAAGATCAAGTCGTTAATTTTTTATCGCCGCAACTATTTAAAAACATACCATAAAATTTTAAGTTTGTTATGCTTTTTGAAAGCTACTGTACAGATTTAAGTAAAAAAAACACTTCCTATGTATTCTAAAGGTTTCAAGCCAAATGCCAAAACTAGGTCAAACTGCTTAAACAGCAATTAGTACTCTCTCCGTTTATGATCAACCCTTTTAAAACAAATTGAGTTTGATCAAGTACATATATAGATGTAAATAGCATTCTTTACAAATATCTTGAGGTATAATTTACGACGTTTTTGATAATGAAAAGGTTACACAAAAAAGCGGAATGCCCCCTTTAAGGATTCATAGTTAACAGCAATTCCTCAGCCAGCAAGAAAAATTAAAGAGTCTTTTTCAGAGACAAAATACAATAGATTATAGCATTATGTTGCACCTTAATAACAAGTCTAACCTAGTATGTAATGTCATGTAATATATGGAAGTTATAAAAATAAAAATTGAAAATAACAATTTTGATAACCTGGTTTCAATGAAACAATTTTAAATGTCAATATAATAAAAAATAACAACTTGTACCGTACATGACAAACACAATAAACAGTGATGGTTTTGGCTAATAAAACTACAGTGAATCTAAAAGGCATTGCCAAATTCTATTTCAAAATTAGCCTGAAAATTTAAAGGCATAATAAAAGAACAAAGTATATCAAACCAAGGCATCATGTGATCTCATCAATTTACATTCAGCATACCATGTTTATCTAATATCCGATAACAACTGTAGCCATGTATCTCTATTATGAGATACACTAAACCAGTATTTGATTATGATGTATGATGTGGTGACATTTAATATTCATACATACCTCAACATCATAACATGCAGTTTTTTTCTCTACCAATGAACGTATAATATTACTTGTACAATGAGGTATCAATTCAATGAAATTATTAATTTTAGACATAGCTAACATCATTAATATCTAGGCCAATGACAATGTAAAAATCCAGTAAAAGAGTATACACACAATCTGAAAAGTAAAAATAATTACAAATTCAAATAATTATTTATCTACTCATTTTTTCACAACATGATAATAAATTTTTATACAATTGATGCATCAATTTGATGTGATTTTGAAAAGGTTTCTTATAATTACTTAACTTTATCAGATTTAATAACTCAATTCTATCTATATCCTTTTCAACTACAATAAACATTAAATGGTACTATCTGATTATAGTGATTGTTGGCACAATGCCATATTTTTCAGAGGTACAATCCACAATAAACACTCACCTGACCAGAAGAAACACCTGCTGTCACTTAATGTTAGCTGGGGTCCCACGGTGGTTCAGCGTTGAAGTTAAACTTACGCTTTGAGCGACTCCCCCCCTCGGGAAAATCTATGTAGATGACTGCGCTGTAACCAACCTAATAAAAACAAAATGATCTCAATTAAGCTTCATACTTTTCCATTTTAGTATAAAAGATGATTCAACATTCTACACAGCAGATTATGTTAAACCTGACTACAATCTTCCAGCTTATGTCCTTTAAAGGTGCTTGAATTCAATTTATTATATCACTATCACTATCAAAAATGAAAATCCTACATTGTTCTGTCAAGAAATGTTTTTCTGACCTAGTGCTATAACAATCAGTAATATGTCAGTACTTATCGATATGTGAGTATATGACCTGCATTTTTAACAGTATACAGTAGAAACTGTATTAAAAGACAACTGAAAATGGAATAATCCAAACAGTGTCTTAATGGAGGTTTCTCTTAGAAGAGTATTGGTTGAGAATAAATACAATCATTTTGGTTTGATGGTCATTTTATATAATTTGGTCATTTTATATAATTTGGACATCAAATATTTAATTAACTATATCCCATGTAAAAGGAACAAATTCAACAGATATTCACTACCCATGGTTATTCACCTGTGCTGAAGTTTGGAGATTTCAGAGTCAACAATAAAACAAATTTTTTATCAAGTACAGGTATTCTATTTATTTCCACAAAGCTTCCATGAGGAAAAAGCACAAAGATGTAATGAAAATGCCTGTCATAGACATGACCTTTTTATTAGAACATTGATCATGACCCACTGGTCACTAATGACAATGATACTTATTTTAATCGGACAGGATAGGCCTGGTGTAAATTGTCATTATAAGCTGATAATAGCTATCAACTTAAAGGGATATGATATAAGTTTAGTTTTTTTTCAATTCTGAAAATTTATTTAACTGGCTGATAGTATATATGTTGGCCCTATAGCATTTTTCAAAATTAAAAGTCAATTTGTTCTTCTGCAAATTGAAAAAATAATATCAAAGAAGTTCAGGATGTCATAGAAAAATTACACCAGTAATAAAAGCATATGTGACAGCCTGTGACAACCATCTGAACTAATGTCAGTGAGATCTCACACCTAGGCAAGTTATCTTGAAAGGAACTCTTTGATTTGATTCGAATGGTTCAGCCTTTATTTGATGCTGAGGGTTGCCTCAAATTTAGGCAATTTCAAGTACATATATAAGCTTCCAGAGTCAAAAATTGCAACATTCTGGAGTCAGATCACTATAGTTTCTGAATCTCTTTGCTATTTACTTTTTGCCCAATGTTTCAGACAACTTGCATGCAATTCAAGAACTTAATGTCACATGACATTGTCAGTCATCTAAGCACAATCTTATGACATGACTTTTTGATAGAATTTAATTTGTGGAAACACAGAACAAAACAGAGCTAAATGAAAATGGTGATAAAGTGTGTCTATTTGGTGATATGCAGAGGTGATTCTGGACATTACTCATCAGCAATCTTGTTGTCAAAACATATATCACAGTCAAAAAAACACTATTTGAAATTCGAGACAGAAGTAGATTTTCATCACTATCAGTATCACTATCAGCACCGTGCCTATCTCATTTTTCTAAGCAAATATATCATAAAGCTTGGTTGATGGTCTAACAGATTTCATTGTGAAGGCTAGGAGTTTGTGGACATTGCATCTAAATTCAAGTTGAAAATAGTTTAATGGTCTAGGTAATTATTAGTGTTACAACAGACACACAAGACATTCCCATAGACATAGGTCAGGATAGGCCAAATCATGATTCAGACATAACAGTCGGCAAAGCAGACATTCTGGTCCGAAGAGAAATGTATCGAATTGAAAAATTCTACTCACCTGTTCCGGAGACCCCAATTCAGACTCTGTTCCTTTTATCGACGTAATTTTGGCGACTCAAAAGACACCAAAGAAATTCTAAATTCAAACTGGGCGTCCTATGAAGGACAGCAATGTCTACACCTCGAGACACTGCAAAAAGGAAATATGAACATGACGTAATGCGTTTGGTTCACTTCAGAAAAGTTGTGATCACTAATAACCGGTACGTACAGAGTTAGTCCGAAACATTCTGATCAATCAAATAATTCTAGACATTATAAAATTATAATGAAAAGAAATTCCGGTAGCTAAACATTGCCATCTGAGAAAGGGACTTATTGTGCATCTTTTTAAAGGATTTTCTAACCGTTGTCATTGGGATGGAAAAATAAAAATCAACCTTTGGTCTTGTCAGTTGGAAAAAAGGTAATAAACAAATAGGCCTATGCCTATTCAACCATTTACAGACCTAAGGATAGATAATTTGTTTTCATAGCAGTACATAAGTTACTGTGAAAAGTTTCGCTCGAACACTGAAACATAACCACGGTTATGTATGGCAGCCATTATTTACCGGTATTATATCGGTGCGCCCCCTGGAACTATATTTTCGATTTTTGTGAAGTCCAGAACAATCAAATCTTAGACCTTGCGTGACATGTAGACGAGTAGCTTGGTATTCATATTCGTCATCTGTGTCCTGGGCTAAATGTCCTCGATCCTAGTCACTCGCGACCCTAGTCCGAAACAACTGTCTCTATTCCATCCTCTGATGGATATTTTGACAGCTGGTCCTGACATCTGTCCAAATAGCTATCAAAGGCTGGAATAGAGACAAATGTGGCGACCCTTGAGATCTCAAAATATAATTTTCATGACGAGATGAACATACAATTACACAATAGATAGCATGGAATCGACTGGCTCTTTGTCCCTAGAAAATCTGGACATGGAATATCAAATATAATAGACGACTATAGAATGATGATAATTTTAATGAAATTTAATTTTGTTGATACTCTGAAATGTATGAAGCGCCTAAATATGTATTGTTCAGCACACCGGAGGACGACTCCAAACATTAAACACGACCAATTCAATTATTTAAAGGGAGAGATTCGTCACTTTCAGGGGTTGATTGGGGTCTTGAATTTTGTAAATGGTCTTCAGAAGTACTATAGAAATGTACCAAAAATCGCATAAAAATATCTCAGACAAAGAGTTTAATTTTCTGTATCTCTATCAAGTCTTTTCGAATATGACAGTCTCAAGAAAAGACGAGTCGTCGTTTTAACTTTCAACTTGGATAATTCTGGACACACATGGATTTGAAGGCTCAAATATCAACGGTGAGCTGATAACCCTAGCTAAAAAATCGTTCTTGAGACTAAAATACGATCTTTTCTATTACTATTCCTTCTTCCTATACAGTAGACGTGTTCGTTTCGAATCGATCCCGGATGTGCACAAACATATTAGCTCTACAAAGGCAATGCGTGATCTAAACACTTATCAAAACATAAATGAAATATACAATATCATGAATCATGTTTCCGTGATTTTAATTTGGCTATTGATACAGTCTGTATATTTTCCCACATTGGTGCGATGCTCGGTGTATGAAACAATGTGCTATCTAAGGTGCCATTGGCCAGTTGCCATGCATTGTGTCTTCTATGTCGCGAGAAAGGTTTAAAGTCCATGCCACTGACACTCGGTAGATAGTCTATAGTTGATTCATTATGATCCAAAGGAAATATAAAACCCTTTACTTGACACATTTTACCAGAAACATAATAGTTATATAGTACATTATTATCGTCACTAGATCGAGTTTCGTTTGTAACAGGTATTGGCGAATCTATGGTTATTTTTGCTGGATATTTCGGTGAATTTGATTGTTTGCCAAGTGCTGTCGGCTTCACATTCTGATTTCTTGTCGTCTGTTTGGTTTTGCTACTAATTGTTGGCTTCATAACTGTTGGTGAATTAATGTGATTTTTCCTGAACTTATTCGAAGCCCTTGATCCATTTTCCATTCGATTTCCCCGTCTTTGACTTCGAGAAAGCAGACGTGGTCTTTTCGCCGAAACAGACTTTTTACCCGATTTCTCATTCAACTGTATCGGACTTTTGATAGGAGCTGGCGTAGGTTTATTGGGTTCCACACGAGGCCAAATATATGAACGTTGAGTGCCTGGAATAACTTTTGCCTTAGGATTGGCGCGACCTGGTTTGTTTTCAGGAACATCTGAGTCTTCGTCATCATCTTCATCATCGTCATTTCCAGACTCTTCTTCTTCAGATTCATTATCATCTCCTTCACTATCGTCTGATTCTGACACGTCTGAACCAAAAAATCCTCGAGGTGGGATTTCTTTGATAAACACAAGATTGTCATCACTGGGAAACTGTACAGATCTGCGAGGCTTCGTCCATCCATCAGGGTTATTTCCTTCCCTTTTTAATGAAGTGGGGCGAGCAGGCCCTTTGCCTTTGCCTTGGTCTACCGGAACATCACACAAAGAGGCGAGTTTGGTAGTCTCTACAAGTTCAGAGACCTCCATATTTTAGTCTACATCCACATCACGATCACAATACATATGTTATCATGTGACATTTGCTTCTAGAACAGAAAAAATATCCAATTTCATTACAGTACTGTTCATATGGTGCTTTCTGTGCTGTCTGTGATTCTATGACAACTGTACTCTCTAAAGCGCAAATAGTCTACGACAGAACCTCTTTCATTTTAGAAAAATACTTCCTGTTCAGTTATAAATCTTCAAACTGACTCGATTCACTTTTTATTTCCCAATATTTTCCAAATCCTATCGGCTATTTATGAACAAAACTTTTTTTCATTTCTTCTCATTTCATTGTAGATACACTTCAGTTTTATTTACTTACTTCCAATTTGTTAATGTCTTACGTATTTTAACATTCAATGTGACGAAATCAAGTAGTATAACAGTTGTTCACTTAAACATGATTTCTTAAAGTTTTTAAAATGAATTTCTCCATAGTGACTATCTAATCTCTAAACAACACTCAAATTTTTTCAGTATGAATTATATAGATATATAATATTGTTCAAATCGATCAAGAGGCCTATTTAGCGTGTATATAATAAAGTCAATATACGTGTTATAATAGATCTTTTATGTTTCTTTAGAATATTACTATAACTATGGATCGTTTGTGAACTCGGGGCAAATTGGATATCAAGTTTGAATAGAATTAAAGCTTCTCTGATTTGTATTGATTATTGAGAGTGAAAATATTAACCTTCACGCTTAGCAGTTTTAGAATGTTGACAGACGTTTATTGCTCATAAAGCTCAATCGGTTACATAATAAGAGCTGAGGAATGGACAAAAACAATGCCGATACCGCTTTTGAAATAGTTTCTGTAAAAAGTAACGGAATAGGTTATAAAGTGAAAGTTAAGACTACTACCAAAAAATGAGTCGAAGATAATATGAGCCTCAAACAACAATACAAGTGCCGAACATCGGTCTTTGATCGTTGACGACATTGTACTCAATCAAACAATCAGCGACCAGGTATTTCGAACAGCTCTTGTGGTCAAAGGGGGATAATTTCATTTATTCGTAGTCTGTAGCAACATAGAAAACAAAGAGCAAAGGGAGGTAATAGAAGTACTGATTGTAGACAAATTGTGCATTGAAATGGGAACTGTTGTTTAATCTTTAGCATTCTTAATCCTACACTAGTAATTTTGCGTATCCCTATTTCTATTTATTATCTTAAATATATATGTATTTTTCTTGTCCGAAACCATATTATTATGTTTTAGCCACAACTCATTGCTGTGATTCCAACACGATTCGAATGCACCTCACTGAGTCAGGGTTTCTAATTTCTAACCCAGAATTTGGATGATGTTAGTGGAGGGAAACACGTGCTGGTTTATGTTTTTTAGTCATGCTACAAAATGTAAAACAGCAGGTCTAGATATTGCCACAATTAGCAACGTGAGTCAAACAATAGAAACAATTTGAATCCTTCTTGAAATGCATGGCTGTCTCATTATTGTTCGTCATGATCAACAATGTTGAAAGGCGTCGGTTAAGATAGGGGACGTTTCGTATAAAAAAAATACCAAATGAGGGACTTATCGTAACGTTGACAAAGGGGATTAATTTCATCCGAAATGTCTGATTATAGAATATTCAACTTTGCTGTGACATATTAAGTTATATGTGCATTATCTTTGTTTATTTTAGAATGATATTACTACTGTGACCATGAAAAAGAGCTTGTATGTAAATTACCTAGTAAACTGGTTCAAGGTCCTTGTGTCAAATGAATTCAATTTCTCTAGACTCTGTTGTGTTGGGAAGGCCTCCTACAATCCATTCAATAACTACTCTTGATCTTGAAATGGTTTTAAATATTTTTTCAGATTTATAATAACTGCTAAGATATCAACATGACATATTACATTGGTGTTGATGTTGGAAGTGGCAGTGTTAGAGCTGCTGTTATTAGTGAACTTGGTGCTATTGTGTCCACAGCAACTAAAGAGTTGAAAATATTTCAACCCCAACCTGACTTTTTTGAACAGTCATCAGATGATATTTGGGAAGCTGTAGTGTTTTCTGTAAAGGTGAGTTGTAGCAGCAGTAGCCAATAATTTTTCTTTTTTTTTTTTTTTTTTTTTTATTATTTTGTAATTGATAATCTTGATTTTTTATTAATTAAGCAAATAATGCTCTTGGAATGATTCAGATTTTTTGCTCTACTTTCACTTTCTTTTAGGGTAAAAATTGTCTCTGTCATTTATTTCAGGAAGCTATCAGACTATCAGGAATTAGTAAAAATGCTATTACTGGAGTGGGATTTGATGCTACATGTTCTTTAGTTGTATTAGATAAAGATAATCAACCGCTATCAGTTTCTCCTTCTGGTTCGTATCATTTCAACTTCTATTGTATATGTTACTTGATTTATGAAATACTGATGGTGAAAGCATCTTTCTGATTTGTTTTTCTCTGGGAAAGGGGTATTATACAAAATGTAGATTTATATAAAACTTTATGAAGTTTACTTACTTTTAATAATCCCATTTATGAAAGGAAATCGATAAAATTTGACGTAACAACTGAAGTGTGAGAACATAAGATTTATATTTTATTCAGGTTTTTGTTTCTCTGTTTCAGGTAATCCAGAATGTAATGTTATTATGTGGATGGATCATAGAGCTAAAAAACAAACTGAAAAAATAAATTCCACACAACATGAAGTATTAAAGTATTGTGGTGGAGCCTTGTCCCTAGAGATGGAACCACCCAAGTTGTTATGGTTGAAACAGGTTAAGAAATATTGTATATTTCTAAATACTTTTAATAAGATCACTTATTGCAGTTGTCAGACACTGTCTAACTCTGACCAGCTTCTGATAGTTATTCCTGACCATTTGAAGAACAATATGGCGCTTTATATTTTGAAATTATTTGAATCCTTGAGGACTTTAAGTCCCTTTATTTAACTCCAATTTATTAAAAAACAATAATTTTGCAATTCATTCACAAATGGGTCACAGTTTGTCAACATGCACCTTAAAGAAGAAACCTTTTTTGATTCATTGTAGAATTTAAGAGAGCAGTGTTGGAACAAAGCAGGACATTTTTTTGAATTACCTGATTTTTTAACATGGAAAGCAACTGGTAGTTTAACTAGGTGAGCATTTATTGTTTTTATCTTGGCAAATAAGTTGTTAAGTGTTGTTGATAACTGCCATCTCCGAGAAAGGTTTACGAATATTGATTGAATTAATTTTCATGTTCATGCTGAGTAGAATTGTCGCACACTGCATAATTTTTTGGCAACAAACAGATATTGCCAAGTTTACCATTTACCCATGGTACAGGCCAGCAACAATATTCAGATCAATATATTTTGATTTTATATGTATTAATTTATATGTATTTAGATCTATGTGTTCGGTAGTATGTAAATGGGGATATATAGCCGATAGTCAAGGTAGGAGAGAATGGAGTGAAAGTTTCTATAAAATGATAGATTTAGGAGATTTATTAGAAAATAATTATTATAAGATAGGTAGGTAGCTATATATTTCAGTAATTACTGAATATTTTACTCATTACTGAATAACAATTTATTTATGACCTATTGACCTATGAATTGTGATTTTGACATAATTGGTTTCTCCTTGTGATATGCTTATTCCTACTGGAGCACCAAGTATTATCTTGGTCTAGATTAAGAGTATGTATTGTTACTAGCTTGTTATTCAAATTTTAGATTTTCGGTAGTAATTGTTTTTGGATGAAGTTTTTGCTATAGCTTCTAAATGATTTTTATTACTTCAAAACATTTAAGTACATGAGACAACTTATAAGACTATGGAATATTTCATGACACCATAACTATGCACAGGAAATTTATTATATTTTGGAAGTAATAATATACTTTAATAATTGTTTTAGGTAATGAAGTAAAGTTACCTGGTGAATGGTGTGGTGGGTTATTACCTTCAACTGCTAGAGAGCTAGGTTTAAATCCTGCTATAACAGTTGCTACACCTATAATAGATGCCCATGCTGGAGCCATAGGTACGTTTTTTTCCCCCCCCGTCTACTTTTTTTAAACTTTTGTTCAAATGTCCGCCAATCATCTCATGGTGTATAAAGAAGGTATTTCCTGATAACCCCCCAAAGGCTATATAATCTCTTTTGAATCTCTATTGAAACAAATTGATTTTTAAAGGTTGTCTAGCATGTTCTGCTGAAGATCCTGAGTTCCCCATCCCATCTGGTAATTGTTCACAGCGAATGGCTGTAATAGCTGGTACCTCTACTTGTCATATGGTGGTAAGTATATAGTTCTAGTGCTGTCTCTTCTTCTTATTCAACCTCAGTGAGATGCTCAGTAACAAACAGATTCACAGCTTGATCCAGGTGTAGATGGATTTTTTAACCAAGTTTCTCCTGTCATTGATGCAGGCTAGGCTTACTTAAAAAAGGGGGCCAAATGGAAAAAGAGTGGGCTATATCAGATCTATTATCCCTTTCATGATATTCATTTTTTATGAAAATTGCAAAAAAAAACATTTGTATATCTTCACATATGATTATTTCATCTTTAGGTCAATCGTGACCCAATATTTGTTAATGGTGTGTGGGGTCCATATTATTCTGCAATATTACCTGGTTGGTTTGCTAACGAAGGAGGTCAAAGTTCAACAGGAAAACTAGTAAGTTTGATTCATCTTTTTGAACTCTCTGAGTTTTTACAACTTAGAATCGTGTGGTGCTTGGAGCTTGAAGCGTATTTTTACTTAACAGAAGAGATTTTTTTCCATAAATTTGTTTAATAATGTAATTATAGACATTATGATATGTATGAAAATAAATTTCAGATAGATTTTGTTCTTGAAAGTCACCCAGCTTATGAAGAAGCTGTAGAAAAAGCCAAAGAAAAGTAAGTGTTGAGTCACCTTTTGAAAAGAATCAAGATCTTTAAGCTTTGTGGATTTCGTCTAGTGATGTTTGTAAAAACAAAATATTTCATGATGAAAGTCCAGGTGTATTTATATCTTAACAATTAGTATATCAAAAGTCTTTATATTATACATTGTATCTGTGTTCATTCCCAGGGTCTGAATGTAAGACAGGACCATGTCAGTTTGACCCATTTTACCAAAGTTTATTATTAGTATTGGTAATGATGTTCTTTAGGGTAGTTTGATGTGATATTTTCTTGCTTATTCCATTTTAATAATGAAATTTTTTATCAATTGTATTGTAGAGATGTCCATCTACATAATTATTTAAATGAGTTATTAGATGATATAGCAGAAACAGAAGGGAAGTACTCTATAGCAGAACTGACAAATGACTATCATATGTGGCCTGATTACCATGGCAACAGATCTCCTGTAGCCGATTGGTCATTGAAAGGAATGGTAAACATAAATTAGAACTAATTTGGCATGTGACAGAGAAATTAACTGAGATTGTTGTGTCATGGCTTCATTTTTTGTTGTAGTTGGATTTTGAATTAACTACCAAAATAATTTTGAAGCAAAGATTCTTCCAATTGGATTAAATTGCCTTAAGTTGGTTTTAAAACTATTTTAAGAATACTATAGTAATTATTGTAGTGAAGCTGAAAGTGAGGTAGTCTTGTAGTAATATTTTGTGTTTAATTTCAGCTGAGTGGTTTAACATTGTCATCAAACTTAGAAACATTAGCTGTAAAATATTTAGCTACACTACAGGCATTAGCTGTAAGTAATCAAATGTTGATTTTGGGGAAAATTCTTTTTGTGTAACATTCTAGAAAGCTGTTCAAAGGCACATGATATTATATTGTTTTAATTATGCTTACTGAAGGCAGGCTACTTGTTTTCTTGTGAGAGGAGATTCAAAACCATTTCCTGCTGTTTTTAGTAGTTTCTTAGGATTGTAATGTGTAATAATAATGTGTTCTATTATAGTATGGTACGAAACATATAATAGATGAAATGAATGCTAGTGGTCATGATATTTGTTACCTATCAATGTGTGGTGGATTATCAAAAAACAATCTGTTTATACAAACACATGCAGATATAACAAGTAAGAACTGTGATTTATATCATTTAGTTGTGTTCAAGTCTTGTACAATAGTCACAAAATGGTACTTACTCATAAACAGGGGTATATCTAGAAATTGCATGAGGGGGGTCGTGGGGGCTGTCGAGGTATGTTGTGATCACTATCATCATTGAAGTGGTGGAGATGTTACCAATAAAAAATCTTAAGATAAGATTGAAAGAATGTCCATTAGTTTTGTTATTGTAGTAATTTATGAAAGTTATTGTTGAAAGGATATTTTTTATGTTGTAGATTTACCAATAATACTACCTCATACTAGTGAATCAATGTTATTAGGGTGTGCTATATTAGCAGCTAGTGCGTCTGGTCATTATTCTAGTATACAGGTAAGAGAGTAACTGTTTTCTTGATTTATTGTTAGTGGAGCAACTTGTAGGTTGAAAATCATTTGAACAATTTGTTGTTAACAAACCCCAAAGTCAACCAATAGAATATAGGGTATATTTATGCTTAATTTGCTTGAAATAAAAAATCAATATTTATTTACATATAAAAGTATGATTGATGCAGTTTAAAAAGAGGGATATACTGTCTAATCTGAATCTTATCTGATTTTGTTCAGGATGCAATGGAGAAAATGGGTGGTATGGGAACTGTTATTTTTCCAGATTCAAACCTTAAACAGTAAGTATCATGTTTGATAACAGTCAGAAATTATTTATATTATAACCATATGAAACAAGATTACTTTTTCCCCTATATAAACTATCCTTTTGAAATTGGTCTCTAGCTATCGTACTAGAAAATGTGTGAAAAGGGTCTAAATATTTGCTTTCCCAACTGTATCACCTTTTAAAAATAGAAAGAAAGTAGAAAGTAACTATTTATGTTTAGGAGGATCATGTCTACCAGCTGGTTCGTGGCAAAATGTCTTGACATCCTTTATAGATTAGTGGACTGGAATGAGGAGGAAAGGTGACTTTTAGGGCCAACAGACTGAAATCTGCCATTTTGTTTAAAAATTTGTTATAAAAGTATTTTATTTTTATTCCAGATATCATGATAAGAAATATAAAGTGTTTTTAAAGATGTTAATGGACCAAAGAGAATATCGTAATATAATGGCTAGCTAGCAGGACAATATTATATATTCTATAGAAATCGGACAATTCAAGCCAAAAATATTACCTTCACATACTGTGATTGATCATAATTTGTATAATTAGTCATAATTGGTCATTACTATACAGATGATAATAATTGTACAGAGTATAACTGTGTATAGTCAAGTAAAGATATTTGTACACATCTGGAATTTATAACAAACATACACAAGAGAAGTTGACATTATTTTTATGTAGTCAAAGTAGAAATAGACACAATTTAAGTAAGACCACTGTTTTGATTATTTATCCTTTCCAAAAACAAATATGGAATTTAAGATTGAAAAATATCATTCTTCTGATAAAATTGATAGTATGATGTTTAGTTGAACTGGGCTCTGGTGTTGATGATTTAAATTGTCCATGAACTTGAATAAATGTCTTTACTTTGTCTCATTACCGGAACATGTACATGATTAGTACACCTTATGGTTGATATGTTATGATTGGGACTAGGTTAATATTTGATATTATAAGTGGTTATATAGCTTCAAATACCACTCATTCTACCTGAAAGTAGCCTCAAGTGTTAACTATATCGCTGAGATGATTTTTCCTAATTTCCACATTGGTTTGCATGGGTCTGATTGAATTTTGAAGATGGTATTGGTTTATTATGTCTATTTATTCAGTAATTTGTTTTTAAGATTTTATAACATGTATTTGGCACAATAAGACCAGGGCCAGAGGCCGCAAAACTTTCTCAAGATATTTCTTACTGTCATATCATATTAGAATTAGATTTAAAATCAATCAATGTTCATTTGCATCCATGTCATGAGAAGACAAAAAAATAAATCATAATTTTAGTCAAATGAAATGAGAAAATTAAAAAAAAAATTGAACATAATAAGTTGACTTTATACATGTACGCCTTGCTTCAATATGCCATAATGCCAAATTGATTTGTACACAAAGTCATAATTATGTACACAATGTCATGATTTTTACACAAAGTCATAATTACACGTCATGATTGGATGTCATAATGTTCGCAATGTCATAATTACACGTCATGATTTGTGCACAATGTCATGGATATGTACATGAAGTAATAATTTCACGTCATGATTTGTACACTACGTCATGGATATGTACTTGAAGTAATAATTACACGTCATAATTTGTACACAATGTCATGGATATGTACATGAAGTATTAATTTCACGTCATAATTTGTACACAATGTCGTGGAAATGAACACAATGTTATAATTAGGTTCACATTGTCAGGATTTGTAAAGAATGTCATGAGTTGTACACAGTGTTATAATTATGTAAACAATGTCAAATATAAAATGTAGTGTCAATATTTTGTATAAAATGTACACAAGGATTTATGTAGTGTAAACATGCCACTTTGTATAAATATTGTCATCAAAATGTTAACATGTCATGCAAGATTCAACCTCAGCCAGATATATCTCTTTTTAGAATTAAAATCTGACAACCCATTGACTTATAAAGTCGAATATTCTCTGATGCAGGTCATATGTAATCATGGTCAGAAATGCCCAGATGCATCTAATCCACTTCTCAAATCATTTTATAAAAAGAATTAATTGAAATGTCTTGCATACAGTTAAGATGAAAATATATTCAAATATTGTTTGCTATATAAACTTGAAACTTTTTTTTATTATAAATATCTTATCAACTGTTTAAGAATAGCATTATCATTTGTTGATTTAGTGCAATAATACTTGTTCAAGATTTCATACAGAGAAACATTACGATTTTCTAATATTTTAAGTTTTTTTTTTTAAAGCTTTAAAATAGAATAACATGTTCCAGAAATTTCATAAATAAATATTTGTATTTTAAATATATGTGCACCAAAAAAATAAAGAAAAAATAATTATGTCACATACGTGCTAATCAATAAATATTTTGAATGTATTTATGATATACAGCAAATAAATTTCTTGAATCAAAATATTTTCTTATAGTATTGTGAATGTTTTGTTAATATTTTCGAAACAGTGTCATTAGCCAACTCTGGAGCCAAGGGACCCATCAGGAGTTTATCATCCCCTTGGAGAAGTCTTCTTTCCATTTAAATCTGCATTCTGAAGAAACGAATTTAATTAAGTTGTATAGCCTACTTTTCTGACCTGGTTTGGGCTATTGAGAACTAGCACAGCCATATTTATACACTAACATGAAATGCCCGTCTTCAATTGATTGTAAACACTTTAGAAGGCACAATATTAGACGAATGTGGTATGAGTGTTTGTTATCACCCATAAGGATGAACCCTATTGAAAATCAGAAGAATCGAAAAATATCTAGTATGAGTTATTGCCCTTGTTCTTGAAAATGCGTTCAATTTTTAGCTCATAGACACTCTAGAAGGCACAATTTTAGATGGACTAAATTTAATTTAGCACACACAAACTTGGTTTTATTGAACCTTCAAATCCATGTGTGTCTTAGAATTATCCACGTTAAAAAGACGACTCAATTTTTTCTTTAAGAATCTGCCATATAACATTGAAAAGACATACATTGAAATAGAAATTCTTAGTTGGAGGTATTTTTGAAGGAATTATGCGATTTTTGTACATTTTTAGTACTTCTGAAACTATTTTTTCATTCAAGACCCACATCAACCCCAGGAAATTGGCGAATCACTTCCTTTAACAATAGGACAGATGAACTTAAATAAAGAGATAAGAGAACAGCACAAAGATTTCCAATCTTTTTATTTACAGAAGAATGGTTGTCAAATTGTATTTATAAACACATTAAATACAAATTATTTGATAACAGGTCAACAAGGGCTCCTATTTCAATTTTTCTTACTATCAATAAAAGTTCTAAATCAAGTTACATTTCAAATAGTTGAATACCATTTCAATTCTTCATTAAAAATAGTCCAGCTTTATTTTATATCATGTTTTACCTAAATCTGAATAAATAGCAATATGTAATCTTAGGCTAATAATGATAATATGTAATAATTCAAATGAAAGGGAGAAGCTGCTTCAGAAAAATATTTTGGAAGAGATTTGGAAGAATTGAAGTTAATAAATAGAAGCCCTTTTCAATACAATTAAATCAGCACAAGAATATCTGAACACATTTGAAAATGTCAAAACAATCCAATATTGGTAATTTCATTCATTTGTTCAAAATTGCTCAAATGTTATCATAATTCTGTGGAACATTATAGCAAAAACAAGTCACATGAGGAGCACCTTCTGAATAATGCACCAAGATGTTTGAAAAAGTCTAAAATTATAGTTCAAATAAGTCTTTCAACAATATGTCACACAAAATGCAGTAACAACTTATGCTTTTCTAAAGTCTTAAATTTGTCCATAAGTCTTTGTCAACTTCATTGCTACAAACTGTAACAACGATGTACTCCGAGATCACAGTTTCCATGGAAATACAATCCGAAAATTGGTGGGTTGTTGATTTTCACCAAAGTCTGTTTTGGTAACTTATGGTTACTAACCAACAAATTCCATAAGTAAGATACCATAATATAGGAAATGCAGTTCTTGAAACAATGAAAGGTGTAGAAAAACGGTATCTTGTATGTTGTAGATGTTGTAATATACCCGTACAGTTAAGTATATTATTTTATCATTCGGATTCGGATCTTATTGTTAATGAAGATGAATGGCTCTCACAGGATGCTGAAATAGAGACATACAACAATCAATTCAATGTGATAATAAATAATTGTACAAGATTGTTCATTGGATGCATTTGTTAATCATTACCAAACTATTTAAGCAATTTAACTCTAAATTTTGTCTTAATTACATGCCCCTCTTTCATTCACAGATTGTAATTTTGTATTCTACCTTTTTGGGGTTTCAAAAACAAACTATTTATACAGAGAGATAAGAGTGTTATGAAATAAAGCATAATGAAGCAAGAATATTCTGCATTTGAGTACAGAAGTTCTATATAGTTTGACAGGTATAACATCTACCACAACAACAATTAGGTTATTGCTCTATTGCAGTGATATATTGGTCAGTACCCATGCTAAACTAAGCTAACTTGATCTTCATTATTTGAGTATTTATTAACTCATGATTATTAAAATCACAAAAACTCTGTAGAATTTAGAGAATTGATGATAAAATGTGAGTGGACAAACTGACTAAGCTTCATGGGTGCCACAATATGTATCAATATAGAGATAGAGATATATAATGGGAGTTTATAATTATGTGCTGTGTAGAGTACTGGCTGTAAGAGCTATTAGTTCCAAGTTTAAGAAAAGAGTCTAAAAGCACTGGAGCATGCAGGATGATGTTAGCTGTATTTTGCTGTACAGAAAGCAGGATTACTTTAACTAGTAGGAGCTGAACCTTCTGTCTCAGGATCTTGAACACTACTGTCTGATTCTTCACGTAATAATGATGTACTACTCTCACTACTTTCAACAGCTACATCAGGTCTGTAATGACAAATATATAATGCTCTTAAATACTGTGTGTTAATCATATATGAAATTTCCAAGTGGAAATGATATTTTTATATCCTAATTTTAAGTTACTGGACACGTTATGTTCATAACCACGGTTGATCTGTCCCTGCCAAAAAAGGTACCACAGTGAGCTTCTTCCACCTTTAGCACGTGTAAAAATTCAAATTCATATTAAGGAGACAAAACAACCTGACGTCTTTTTGCATTCTTTGCAGTGAAAAGAAATTTGTCAGAACATTCAAACATAAATCACAGCACCGATATAATCTTCCTCAACTCACCTTGATTTTTTACCAACAGCTTCATAATCTGTAGAATCGGCTTTTCTTTTCTCGGAGCCTCTTTCTTCCCCTTTTGGTTGACTTTCTTCTGCCGCCTTTAATCTCTGAACTCTCCATTCTATAGCACGTAGTAAATTCTCACTGTCTTTGGGATTTGACTGAAAAAAACGTAACAAAATATTGAAATATAAAAATGATTATTGCCACATGCAGGCGCATGACATAGATAGAGGACTAAAAACTATTGAAACTGAGTGTGAATAAAATATAGTCTTAAGAATGACTTCCTTGAAAATACCCTTTCTTAAGTATGGTGTAGTCCGACAAGTTTCGTTCTTAATTGAACTCTTCAGGGGCAACTACGCACAAGTGAAAGCTTCACCTCTATGTGAATAAAATATAACCTCATATACCCTTAACTTCTGAATGAAAGTTTTACGTCATACTATTTAGCACCATGTGGGCTAATGAATCAGGTAAAAGCCTAAAATTAAATGATGTCAGTCACTTGGTCAGAAGAGCAGCCGCTAGAATTGAAAGAGTTAAAGCCATACCATAATAAGGAATACTTTCACTCCTTCCTCTTCAACAATAGCTGATATTCTAACACTTTTAGGACTAGCTCTCTCTACTGTCATACCACACCATATCGGGGTATTTAATATAACACGTAAACTACCTTGTGTTCTCATAACTACAAAACAAAGTTCATTTTTTTAAACATGTCACTTAATATTCAAATAAGCAAGTTAAGTACCAAGATAGCTGCTGAAAATTTTTCAAGTTAAATGTAAATAGAAAATAGAAATATGAAGATGGAAGAGGACTCTATAGATTGAAGATTATTGTATTGTCTCTTATTTTTGTGCACTTAACTGAACCTTTCTCTAAAAGCCTATCAAAGCTAATATTCAGTAAGGCTCATTTATAAACTCGACAATAAAACAGATATCATGATGGATGTATACTAATATCGAGATATCCACTTGAACTTATATCACCCAGCCCTAAGGTAAGCCTGTTGTTTCACCTTGGAGTTAACAAAGTAAACAAAACAAACTGAACATACTATAATTTTGTACATCTGGTATAGATTGAAAATAAAATAAATAGCTTACTTAATCGAGATTGAAATGAGTCTGATTCAGAAGCAGTCATGTCATTTAACCGACAGAGACCTTGACCTTTCTCAATCCAGGTTTGATTATCACTATCAAATAAATAGAGTTTAGCTGTAGCATGTAATACATTCGATTCTTCTTCTTCTCCTGTCACTACTTCAACTTCTTTTAAATCTGGTTTATTTTCTTGTTTAGCTTGGTATTCACGAGCTGACTCTGCTAATGTCTGATTACCACCTGTTTCAAGAGACAAATGTTCTGATAAAAATATATTGCTGGAGCTCTATCTCAATAATGACCACAATGGGAATTGCTAATTATTCAGATCATGCTCACTCTAACCAAACTTTTGATGTCACTAGAATCCATAGCTCTGCCTGCAGTTTGGACAATAAATACAAAGCAAGTTCTTTATACTTAGGTACAAGTGTTTTATATTTGAGGAACAGTCTTTACTTTTCAGGAACAAAACAAAGAATGTCTTTCTTCTAAATCATAAGTATATAATTCTTCACTGGCATCATTTGCACACATACAAAGGAATAAATCCAAGGACCATTATCTGACAAAATTAAATATCATGTAAATTTATTCTCCTCAGGTCTGTTTAAGATGTTTCTCAATCATTATCCTATACTTACTGGCATTAGCTGCAGCACTAGTACTGTTACTATCAGCTTCATTAGTTTCCTCTTCTGTAGTACTACTAGTAGTACCATTCTTTACTCTTTCACTTAAAGCTTCACCAAATACTAGGTTAGGTGACGATACTTCATCATTGACATTGGTAGATGACACACCCTAAAAAGAAAAGGACATGTGACATTGTCAGCTAAAAAGTTTACCTTTAGATCACTGGTTATTCATTTCACACTACAACCCTTTTTTAACATAGGATAACAATTTGATTAGCATGGATCATGTTTTTCATCATTTCAATGCCTTTAAACAACAATGTGAAGATTCCAGCACTCTATCTAACTGGATTACAGTCTGTCTAGATTGACTTCATGACTATTTTCATTGTTAAAAATAACTTCCAATCGGCTAGATTTGAAAAGCTGTAAACAAGGTCAATCAGCAGTAAAAAATATGAGAATTACTTACTGTGACTCGGTTGGAGAGATTTTCACCAAATACAAAACCAGGGTTTCTCAATGTTGTGTTCGGTAATCTGAAACAAATCATAAACAATTAACTTATGATACAGAAAGATATAAAAAATATTCAATTATAAAGGCAACTTATTGGTGTAGGGCTAAATTTTTAAAGGGACAACTTGATTGAAAGCCCTACCTGGATTCAGTTAAACCAGTGGCATTATTTTCTTTAGTAGAATCATCAGGATCTGTACTGGATATTACTGATGTTTCATTCTCTACATTATCTGTATTTTTACTGTCTGATGATGATACTGTTTTGGCTTGGGCTTCATTATCTGACCCTGAATAAATATATAGATGAATATAAAAGTGGTTTTGATGGATAGTTTTAATAGAACAAGGAATGCTAGATAATTCCTCCTCCCTTTTGAATCTATTGATTTTGTTTTTGCCTTTTCTAATAATAAAAAACCTCAGCAGAAGGAGTAATCCATGTTTACATTACATTGTCACAAACAATCGGCCCTACAACCTCCTTTATAACCATTTTTCTTTTAAAACTATTACACATGCATAAGTACTTCAAATAAAGTCTGTACAAATGTAATCAATTATTTTTTAACACCATCTTATCATAATTTCTATTAGTGGACTAACAATACAAGTCTCACATGTGGTTGTTTATAACTGAATCAGCTTTGAGCTTCAGATAATGGATAAAGAATGCAGTCATCCTCTGTAGAAATCATGAGACCAAACATCTAGATTTCAATCACATTCGATTTCAATAAATTGTTTGCAGACTCTTACACCTAACATAGACTTGAGATTAGGGAATCAACACAATACCTGAAGTATCCAATGGATTCTGTCTAGGATCTGGTAATGTAGCAGGTTTGAGTATTGAAGATACATTAGAGTTGCTACTGGCAACAACACAATCTAAAAATAAAGAAAATAATTTAAAATAGCTTTTTTTTGTTTTATTGTACTTCATTGTGAATATTTGAAATAAATATCCTGTTTATGAAAAAAAATCAGTAATTTCAAGGAAAGTTTATCAATTGTTTACATAAACAAACCAATAAAATTGTAAACACAGATACAATTTATACACAAAATCAGATTTTCGTGAAGACAAATTAAAAAGTTCTGTCTAAAACAAAGTTGTTTTTACCTTTATTTGACACAGAATCAATTTTGGCTCCTAGTGCTGATGGACGAAATTGGAATCTCTGACGATTTTCTTCTTTTGTTTTTGATCCTAGAAGAAATGAACAGGTATATGTAAGCAAGTCCTAGATACTTAAGTTGATCAGTTATTGTATCCAAATATTCAGTTGTCATTAAGTTTGGGATTTTGACAGCCACTGAATGACACTCCATGGGTAAATTATGCTTGATGTTCGATTAGAATTTGTGTTTGGACATGTCCAGCTAATACAGCCAATAGAACAGTCCTTAACAAAATTGTCATTTCAGTCAAATTCTACCACATCACAAGTATACTTACTGTCTTCCCCATGGCCTGTACCAGCACTCTGGGCAAATGGATTAGCACTTGAACTAAAGTTACCTTCAATAACAAATATCATTAAAAGTTAAAGAATTACACTGAAAGTTGATATACAGTGTCTTACAAGAGATGAATTTTAAGCAATATTCTTTTAGTAGACAAGTAGAAGTGACGAAAATCAGCCCATGTCATAATTCAAAGTCCATGGATAACAAAATCAAAAAAGTAGACATGAAATGAATGTAATTGTCATCTTTGAATCTTAGCTGTAGATTGTTTTCAGAATGGAAATTCAGTTTTCATAACAAAATAAAAGAAAGACTTCTTTTGGATTATTTCTATAAATACAAACCATTTTCATTTTTATACATATGTACCCAAACAAGGTTTCTAAAAATTCTTCAGCTAGTTACAACAACTATCAGTAAATTGTATCTATAATAAATACTCTGAATCACTATTCACATATGTAAGTAAAGAACCAGAGTTGTCTCACCTGAACTTGAAATGCCAAAATCTGGTCTGAAATTTCCACCAAGTTTTGATGGTTGTAAAACAGAGGAGGAGCCATTTTTATTTTGATCTGTAGAACTAAAGGCAGATGGTGTTGTACTTGATTGTATCACATTATTTGATGATTGATCACTTGAATCTGAGGTGAAATTTAAAAGGAAATGTCTCAGACAACATGTTTAATATGTTTTTCAGTGTTCACATGGTCATTGTTTCCCAGTACAAAGATATCCTTGACCACAACTTGTGAACATCTGATTAACTATTTATGATAAATTTCTACTTGAATTACACCAGTTATATACTCAAAATATATTTGGCATGGCTTTCAATTTTGATCACTTAACATTTGCAAAGAACTGTTTATAACAATAATTTTTGTGTCTACTATTTGACAAAGAAATTTGTAAAAAAAATTAACATTTTCAACTAAAAATTGTAGGTTACTGGTCATACATAGAGAACTAAATTTGGATACCATTACACCAAAAATAGAAAATAAATGTTACCTACCAGTTAGCCCTGAACTAGATGGTGAATTATCATCATGAGGTAACTGAAAAAAAATGTTTAATTCATCAATATGATTGCATATGAATATGAAGTCTCTCAAACAAGTATTTTGGCAAGTAAAGGTTAGCCTTCATAATACATAAAAAGGATGCTGTAGCAAAAAAAAGCACAATGAATTATGACAAATATGTTCATAGTGAAGTTATGATTTGATCAAAACAGGTTTGTAAAAGGATATGGATTAGGTTACTACAATTGTGTCAATTTTGTGTACATTGGCGATGTAATATTTACTTATAAGTTTATATCTGAGCATTAATGACTTACTGAAGTAGATGAAGTTGTTTCTTTATTAACACCAGAATCAACTGAAACAAACAAAAACATTAAAGGATTGTTAGTGCCATTGTCTTGAAATATCATAAAGATCCTTGTCCAATTGATTATTTCTCTCTGTTAACTGCAACCATCAAAAGGCTGTTCATTGACAGCACTTGATATAGGCTTTCAAAACATCTTTGTGTGTGACACTGGCATCAGCATTAGGTTTATACAAGGATACAAAGAGTGTGTCCTACTCTTTCATCTAGTTCTTTTGGACTAATGCATTAATTTGTCCCTTTCCACAATATTTAGCATCTACATAACGTAAGTATGTCTCTATATCTGGTCTAGCAGTATTCAGTACCACTTTAGAGTGAAAGAATATCTATTCTACAATATATATAATCATATAATAGATCAAGTCCTAGATAACCTAGCCTAGTTTTATACCTAAATATGTCTAATGAAAAAGTCAGTGCAGTGCAGCACCAAGACCAAGATTATTCATACTTCTCAACCTCTTAGGCTGATGTAACAGTTTCCATCTAGGTCTCATCTAAATGCAATTTCTTATGTTACATGATTATTCATTTGCTCATTAGTGGTTAACTAATTTGGAATAAGCCTTTTCACAATGAGAAGAAATTTCGGATTAATTTCGGATTATTTTGAAAATAATACGAGTTTGACCCAAAAATAAAACGTCATGTTTTGTTTGATTCTGGATGCTATTATGACAAATATTCTTTCCTTTAGAAGAAAAGTTTGCAAACATTAAATTTGTGTGTTATTTAGTCCTATTGTAACACAATCATCAATTATAAAAGGCTTCAAAACCGGTAGTTCTCTAACCTGCACCGACATCCGCCATCTTGATTGTTGTGTTTGGATAAGTCACGTGGTAAGAAAGGGAAAAGGGGGATTGGGTAATCCCTCTAAGTCTATAAATAACTTACTTCGCGTGCCCGTGTGCCTGACGTATATGCGTTCGATTTGTATCCTTTACCTTGTTTAATCAACATCATTCAGATTTAAAAAAAAACTCAGATCCTGCACCTTCCTCAGCCATGCAGAATGCAATTAAATTTGTTGACCAGGACAGCTCAAAATGAAATTTTTAGAGCACTTCAAAAGTTATGAAATAATCTCAAGAGATTTGAAGTTGTTCCTTTTGATGGATTATAAGCGTACAATTTAAAAAAAATTCTTAATAAATTTTTTCTCAAGTGACAGGAATTGAAAAAAAAAACGGGATTGAAAAATCCGAAGGTATTATCACTGTCGAGGTATCTTTAACGTGCACAGCTTGTAGCACACGGGGCCTCGGTTTATTGTCCCATCCGAACTACTAGACGCTTTTTCCATGTCAGCCCCTCGTAGCTGCATCACTGACAGGGGGGAAACCGGGTTGAAAAATCCGAAGGTATTATCTCGATCTGTGCCGGGATTGAACCCCAAACCTTCAGGTTAGCGAGCAAGCGTCTAACTCACTGAGCCACTGCGCCTCCCTGTAACTAACGAAGACGGGTGGTATTTACGTGGAGCTTCTAAACATTTTAGACTACCGGTACTATATTTTTTCATTAGTCGGAGGTGTGATGATTAGACCAATTTCGGTCCAAGTATAGTTAGTTTGGCTCAAGAAGTTAATAATGATGTGAATGAATATCAGTCATTCAGGTCACAGTCGCCGTGAGCTATTTTGAGACTCGGTTAGTCTTATTGGCTATATGAACAGAACGAAGAATTGAACGCACCACTCTCTATCAAAGGAGGAAGAAAAACACCAATGCGGCACATTTCTAGAATTTAATATGGCCGACAATGACGAGAGCGTGAAATCAGGGCTCTCTTTTGGATTCTCCAAGAAAATCAACTCCAAAAAGCTTCAAAAATCCGCTGTTAGTGAAGATATTGCATCGGAGGACCATTCGAAAGATTTTGTCACCTCTTTAGAAGGCAAGGAAGTAAAGAGTACGAAACCAAAGCAAGATCGTTCCTCCAAAAAATACGTTATCCCACTGATCAAAGAAAATAAGTGGCGAACTTCAGGAAACGAAATGGACGACAAAGCTGCAAAAGAAATTATAGAAGATTCTTCAAAGTCAAACGAAAACTGGGTTGATAGAGGTGGTGATGGTGTAGACCCAAATTTACAAGTGCCCTTGTTGATGAAAAATAGAGTACCTGCTGGATTTGAAACTGATGAAAAATTGAATGTCGTATTGAGACCTGATGCCCCAGACACTGTCGATTATGAAGAGATACCGATTGATCACTTTGGGAAAGCTATGCTTCGTGGTATGGGTTGGGAAGAAGGTAAAGGAATTGGTAAAAATGAGAAAGCTATAGCCCCGTATGAAGCTGTTATGAGGACAAAAGGACTTGGACTTGGTGCTGATAAGAAACAACCAACAGGAGAAAATGGTAACAATTCCGAATCAAATGAAAAGTCACAAGATCAGAATATTGATATGAAGAAAGGCTCACACTGTGTATTTTTGAAAGGTTCAAACAAAGATATGTATGGTACTATTGAAGGTATTGATGAAGATAATGCTCGTGTGATGGTTAAAATCGCTATAACAGGAAAAACCGACACATTATCTCAGTTCTCAATCAAATTGGTGTCTAAAAAAGAATTCGACAAATACTCTAAATATATCAACAAAGGCAAAGCTGATCGATTTAAAGAGGATGAGAAAAAGGCTAAAAGCAGTGACAGTGAAAGTGATTCTGAAGAAAGTTGTAGTAGATCAAGAAGTCCTCAAAGTAAAGTTAGCAGAAGTAAAAGTCCTGCTGCTAATAAAAACAGAAGTGCAAGCCGCAGTGCCAGCAGAGAAACTAGCGACAGTCGAAGTCCCAGCAAAGAAAGAAGTCCAAGTGTTAGCAAAAAGAAAAGTCGCAGTGCTAGCCGAGAAAAGAGTCGCAGTGTAAGCAAGAAGAGAAGTAGTAGCCCTAGCCGAGAAAAAATTCGCAATGTGAGCAAAAAGAAAAGTCGCAGTCCCAGTCGAGAAAAAAGTCGCAGTATAAGCAAAAAGAAGAGCCATAGTGCCAGTAGAAGTAAAAGCCGAAGTCGTAGCAAAGATAAAAGTAAAGATAAAAAGAAATCCAGCAGCAAACACAAAAGTGCTAGTCGAAGTAGAAGTCGAAGTAAAAGTAGCAGAAAACGTAGCAGAAGTCGTAGTGGAAGCAGAAGTGGAAGTAGAAAGAGAGGCAGAAGTAAAAAACGTAGTAGGAAAAGTAGGAGTCGAAGTAGAAAAAGATCAAGAAGTGATTCCAGAAGTAGCTATAGCAGCAGATCCAGAAGTAGGTCACGAAGCAGAAGTGGAAGTAGAAAGAGAAGTAGAGGTGGTAGAAGAAGAAGAAGTCGAAGTAGAGATAGCAGAAGTCGTAGCAGGAGTAGAAGCAGAAGTCGAGACAGATACAGAAGATATAGTCCAAGACCAAGATATCAGAGGTATAATAATTATTACAATAATTATAATAATTATAATCGATATAATAATTATAATAGAAATTATAGACGACCATATTATCATAGTTATGATCGTAACTATGACCGAAACTATGATCGCAGTAGAAGATACGATAGTAAGTATGAGCACAGGGAGAAAGAAAGGGACAGCTACAGGTCAAGGTCAAGAGAAAAAACTGGAGCCAAGAAACTGCAGAAGTGTGGTGGGGAATGGGTACGATGTCAGATGAAAGTACGAATTATTGATAAAGATATTTTTGAAGGAGAACATTTTAAAGAAAAGGTAGCTGTTGAAGACATTGTAGACAAAGATAAGATTACTTGTAAAACAAGTGAAGGGAAACTATTAGAGAATATTCCTGAATCCGCTTTAGAAACTGTTATCCCTAAATCCAGTCCAGCTTATGTTATAATATTGTATGGCAAGCATAAGGGGTTGGTAGGGGAGGTAATTAGAAGAGATAAAGACAAAGGATGTGCTATGTTAGAATTGTTAAAAGATAGAGGTACATGTATTAAAATTGAGTATGATTCAATTACAGAATTTGTAGGAGAAGTAGATTCTGACTTTTACTTCTGATTGCTACTTTATATCATATTTTGCATTATTAGTCTATGGTTATATATATAATATAATAATCCTATCAAAGCAGAATCAATTTAATGCATACATGTGTGGAAAAAGCTAAAAACTTCTCAATGCCTTTCAAATTTGTCTGACATTTTCACCCCAACAAATTTACATTCTACAACGTAAATAAAACAATTTCTTTTGATTTATATTTGCCAAATGTTAGATAGAGATACATTCCTGTAAATGTTTAACAAATTAATGCACTCAAATTCAGCTATGTATCACTTATACAGATAAAAATCAAATTTTTGGAATCTGGACCTCTGGCAATATCTGATATATGCTGTGTTTTTATAACGGACAATTGATAATGGTTTTTTGAACTACATGAAGTACATGCATCAGATTTTAATCCTGAAAAGGGATACAGATAGCTAAATTTGATCTTTATCATTGGGCAAATATCTAGATAGTTTGATGCCTTCATATGTCATATAGCACATTTAATTTTTTTTTTCACTTGTTATCATTCTTAAAAATGTTAAACAATCTTATAGCAAGATAAGAGAAGTATAGATAATGTTTTGATAAGATAAAAAATAGGATTTGTAAATGTTGATTATAAAATTGTATATTGTTGTCCATTATTGATTTGTCTTGTAAAACTTTGGGAGTCAAAACTGCAGTTTTACTCTCATTAGAATGACGTTCCAAAAATGTTTTCAGAGATTGCTTAATACCTGCTTCTAATGCAATATTCCACCTTGCTTGTATACAGTTTCTTTGGAATTTGTGTTTCTTGTGAAGCAAATATGCAAGTGTACACTTTTTGTAGACAGTTTTACTGTTAAAATAATTTTCAGATTTAAGTTTGAAATTTAAACTTTTGAAAAGTTAGATATTTTGTGTGTCAATTTTATATTCAAATGATTAATTTGTCTTATCAGGTGTCAAATTTTGTTTGTTAATTGCCATATAGATTTCAATGCTTGTGAGGAATAACTATTGTTTAAAAATGTGCATGTACATAAAAGAAATATCATTTTATCCCAATATGTTAAATTGAAGAAATTTTTGCTTTAATGTACTGGTAACTACTAATTATTGATACTTTCACTCATGATCATAGTAAATTCCTAAATTTCACAAGTTTTTGTATTATTTTACACATTGATTGTATTAATAATAAAATAATTCTCTGCTTTAACAGATTCCAAATTCTTCATTATGGTTAATTATTAATGGTAAATACATGGTCAAATTATTTAATCAATGGTAACATGGTGGAGATACAATAATTATATTAGATATAAGATTATTGGTACCATATGGTTTATATTTGAAGAAAATGGAGATATAGATATAAGATATCAATGGTTCAAATATAGATCATCGAGAGATTCTACTAGGCAATTATTCAGGTTCAAGGCGGGAGGGAAATTGATTCAATTTTTAATTAGTTATTCATATCAAAGACTTCATCTAGATGCATTCATGCTACACATCAAGAACTAAATTGCTTTGCTTCGACAAAATTCCGAAAATAATTTCAAAAAAGAAAATTCAAGATATGAAAAGCATGATAACTATTACAATTTTCAGTATTGGTGATTCCAGACATAACTAAATGTTTCTTTCAGTTCTTGCACTGGACAGAAAAGATTTTTTTCAGCTCAACAAGAAGTCTCAAATATTCATTACCTTACAAGCTATAACCAAATGGTTGATATAAAATATCTATTTAATGGTAATGGTAAATTGAATTGTTTAATGGTGATATTCAGTAATCAGACATAAAGTAATTTTCTTTTACTTTCAAATTTATTTGGCCCTATTATAAGAGAGTCTATTTTGATTTCAATACCATTTGATAATTGGAATTTGGTGGTTCATTATTGTTATAGAAGTAAATGGCACAGTTATGAATCAAGCTTTGAAATAAGAACAAACAGAAGAAATATCTCTTTATTGTACCAGAACATGTAGAATTATTTTGCTCAAAAAATGGTAGAAAATATCTGACAGCGTAAAATTTCTGAATGGTAAAGATCTAATGGTAAATTATTATGTAAGATATCTGACAAGATTTTTAAATGGTATAAGATTGCTATTGGTATAAGTTATCTGATGGTGTAAGATTTTAAATGGTAGATTATTTGATAGTATAGAATCATGAATGTTAAAAGATATATGATTGTGTAAGATTATGAAAGTAGAAGATATATGAATTTAAGTGGTATAAGAGATCAGATGATGTAAGATTATAAATGGTATAAGAGATCAGATGATGTAAGGTTATAAATGGTAGAAGAGATCTGATGATCTAAGGTTATAAATGGTATAAGAGATCAGATGATGTAATCTTATAAATGGTATAAGAGATCTGATGATGTAAGGTTATAAATGGTAGAAGAGATCTAATGATGTAAGATTATAACTGGTAGAAGAGATCTGATGATGTAAGGTTATAAATGGTAGAAGAGATCTGATGATGTAAGGTTATAAATGGTAGAAGAGATCTGATGATGTAAGATTATAACTGGTAGAAGAGATCTGATGGCGTAAGATTATGTATGGTATCAAATATCTGATGGTAAGAGATTGAATGGTATCAGATATATGATGATCTATATCAGTTATGATATACTATCAGTTGGTATTAGAATTTGAATGGTATGTGATAATGAGTGGTAAATGGTACAAATATTTGAACAGTCAGTGCAAGACCTGATGGTTGTAAAGTTTACAAATTAAAAAAAAAATTATCTGAGTTAAATGGTATGTATTTTGTAGCAAAATGAATGAAATTGAAGAGTTTCAGTTAATTGCATAGGAATTATCAAGACAATAAAACCCGAATTTTACTATAACATAATTACCATGCATGCATTCCAGAGAAAAATGCAATTGTGTATAATGATTATATAGAATTTATTCCATTTATTTAATGGTAAAGTAAGAAGTATAATCTTAAATATTTGATGGTAATGATGATTTGGTTATTAGTTATGAAGTAGGAGTAAATCCTTAATGGTAATGTCAATTGTAAAAGATGGGATGAGTTTCTCAATGAATTTATGGTGGTATTTGTGGTTAATGGTAAAATGGGAGAGATTCATACAGAAGAATTGTTGATATTCAATGGTAATTGAACTCACCATAAAAGACTTAAGCAGAATCATGTATTTTGTGGTAAATGAAATAAAATTATGATTTTATTGAGTTTTTATTTTCGGAAGGTTACATAAAGCATAATCATTCAGTTCACTCTTCATAAAGGGATATTTGATAGAGCTTAATTTTGGTTATCTGTATCACTTTTTATATGCCCACATGACTTGGGATATGTATATTATCACCCATGTCGTTGGCTCCGTCTCTAGAAGGCACAATTCTTGACTGATTTTGACGTAACTTAGTATGATTGTTTGTAATTACCCAAAGTTGAACCCTATTGAAAATAGCAAAATAATTCGTATGAGTTATTGCCCTTGTTCTTGAAATGCTCGTAATTATTCTAGAAAGTGCAATTCTTGACGGATTTTGATGAGATTTGGTGTGAGTGTTTATCAACCCTATGGAAATACATATTTCATATTGGTGATTGTTGCTGTACTGCTAAATATTTTTATTCAAAATCAAAGCTGCCAGTGGGTGTATAT